TACTTGCGCGGTCTCCTAAACCTGCAAAAACCAATTGAGACAGTCGTAGAGTTAAGATGTCCGCTACCATACGTGGCAGGAATGCCAGTAGTAATGCATATTAATTAGGTTTACTATATAATGATAGAAAAGCTAAGGTTTTAGATATATTTCATTAAGCTAGCGGAAAAACATTCTCACTTTTGTGAATTGTCTACTTTTCAGAAAAAGCTATTTGTGCTTATGTTGCGTTAAGACTCCCGCGCTTTTTTTTCAATCCAAAGTAAGAATGCAGACTGCTGGTGATGGAGCAAAGGGCGTGGGCGCCAAGCGAAGTCGAAGCGGCGGCCCAGTGCTCAATCCGAGTGCTGCATCTATTGAATTACTAGTGGATTCGACTGCAGAGTCCGTAAAGACTCGCTTCTTGCAATTTTTATGTGGTTACGGGCAGCAGGACGACGCAGACGAGGCTATGGACCCGAGCAAGATCAACTACAGTCAGCAGGCTGAAGTAATGCGCAATACAGAGACATCATCGCTCTTTGTCGACTTTTCTCACGTCTTAGAGTTCGATCCGGACTTAGCACAAGCTCTCCAGGCCCAGTATTACCGCTGGGAACCGTACTTACGTCGTAGTGTCTTTGAGTTTATTCGACTTGAGGACGCAGCTTATACAGTCAATGAAGACGCAAACAAAACGCAGCGTGAATTTTTTGTCAACTTTTACAATTTTCAGCATGTGTCCCAGTACGTCACTTCACTCTATAGTTTAGAACATGGTTGAAACATGGACTGAAACTTGTCTCGTAGTATTCGGGATCTTAGGACCAAAAGCATTGGCGAACTTTTGAGTTTTTCTGGTACTGTAACTAGGACGTCTGAAGTGCGTCCAGAGCTTCTTTTTGGTGCTTTTACGTGTGCCGATTGTGGTGGCGATACGACAGGTGTAGAACAGCAATTTCGGTATAGTGAACCTGTCAAGTGTCAGAATCCGTATTGCGTCAACACGTTTGCATGGGAGCTTAATACCGAAAAGTCAGTTTTCGTGGACTGGCAACGCGTCAAAGTGCAAGAGAATAGTGACGAAATTCCAGCTGGGAGTATGCCACGGTCAATTGATGTCATTCTAAGACATGAAAATGTCGAACAGGCCAAAGCTGGTGACCGAGTTGTTTTTACTGGTACTTTTATTGTAGTCCCTGACGTCTCCAAGTTTGCTCAAGCTGGTGGAGAGACGGCTGTTGCAACGCGAAACAATGACCAATCAAGACGAAATGGCGAGAATAGTACGCAAGGCATGCAGGGCGAAGGTGTGCGTGGTTTGAAGGCTCTTGGTGTGCGTGAACTCACGTACAAGACCTGCTTTCTGGCTTGTAGTGTACAGACCATGGAACAACGTTTCAATAGTATTTCAATTCGCAGTGAATATAACGAAGATAATACTGAAGAACAAGAAAACGGTGAGGCTGCACTTCAGGAGTTCAGTGATGAAGAAGTAGCATCAATACGTAGGATGCAGCAAGATCCAGACCGATATTCAAAGATGGCAAAGTCAATTTGTCCATCTGTTTATGGTCACGACGAAATTCGAAAGGGGATTTTATTGATGCTCTTTGGTGGTGTGCACAAAAAGACAATAGAAGGTATCAAGCTTCGAGGAGACATTAACGTTTGTATTGTGGGTGATCCATCGACTGCTAAGTCGCAATTTCTCAAGTATATTGTTGGTTTCTTACCTCGTGCAATTTATGCTTCTGGTAAAGTGAGTTCAGCTGCCGGCCTCACGGCTTCTGTAACACGAGATGCAGATAGTGGCGACTATTGTGTAGAAGCTGGAGCGCTGATGCTTGCAGATAATGGCATTTGTTGCATTGACGAGTTTGACAAGATGGATCCAATGGATCAAGTGGCAATTCACGAAGCAATGGAACAACAGACAATCTCAATTACAAAAGCAGGCATTCAAGCAACATTGAATGCACGCACGAGTATCTTAGCTGCCGCTAATCCATACAATGGCCGCTACGACAAAACCAAGACTTTGAAATATAATGTCAATATTTCAGCGCCAATTATGTCGCGTTTTGACTTGTTTTTTGTCATTCTGGACGATGGCGATGAAGTGACAGATCAGAAGATTGCTGAACACATTGTGAACATTCACATGCCAAGTGAACTACAAGTCCAAGCGACGGAGACTGGTGCGTATAGCGAAGAAGAGTTGAAGCGGTACATTAAGTTTGCAAGGACATTAAATCCTGTGATCACTTTGGCAAGCAAGCGAATGATGGTTGCGTGTTATCGAAGTTTACGTGAGAACGATGTCGTAAGCAATGGCCAGACGAACATTGCGTACCGAATCACAGTGCGGCAACTTGAGTCGATGATCAGATTATCCGAAGCTTTAGCAAGACTCGATCTGAGTGAAACTGTAATGGTTTCACACGTTCAAGAAGCATACCGATTATTAAGCAAGTCGATTATCCACGTGGATACGCAAAATGTAGAGCTAGATGTACCGCTGGTTGTGCCAGATGGTAAAGATGGTGACGATGACAGATCGAATACTGGCGGTACAAGTATGGATGACAACGACAATGGTACCAGTAGTGGTGGCAATTTAAGTACAGGCAATGTATCAAATGACTATCCGTCGAACGAGATGCAAGTGACAAGCTCGTCATCACTTTCGTTCGAGCGGTTTGCGAGAATTCAAAAGGCCATTGGTCGATTCATTCGCGAGAAAGAAGAGGAAGTGTTGAATGCCAAAGTCGCTCGGGACGTAATGAATGAACAGAAGGAAGAAGATGAAGATGAAGATGTAATTGGTGTTTTACAAGGAGAACTCGTGACGTGGTATTTGTCGTCTCAGGACATCACGTCAGAGGCACAACTTACACGGGAGAAGCAACTGTTTTGCTCGGTTATTGATAAATTGGTGCAAGACAAAGTTTTGTCAGTTGTTGATTTGGTTGATGAAGATGGTGAAGATTTGAAGCTAGGAGACAAAGTTGAGGATAGCACAAGGCATTTGTCGCTTGAAGAGCAGGACGCGAAAAAGCAACAACGATATTTAACCGTGCACCCAAATTATGCTTTCGAGTAGCAAGCAGCAGCTGATATAGACAAAATACGTCTGTTTGCACTTATTCTCTCATTACAAACACATCAGTAAAGGCGCTCTAGGACAACCGCTACGCTTTTATTACTACGTCTGTCACAAGCTTCCTTATCCTTCTTTTCCCCTCGTATTTATCGTTAGTATATACGAACTCACTATCGTCAGAGCCGGTTGTAGAAATTCGCAACAAAATGATAACACAATACAACTGATACTTAAAATATGACTTCTTAGGTCTTCATATTTTATCAGCGGTCAATCATAGTACTATATACTTAGTAGTTCTACAACAATGCGGAGGCAAATAGAGCCTGATACAATCACACGACGCAAACATGAAGAGTGAGCTGGTGCCTTAATTGAGAATATGACACTTGGAGGGTTGTTGAATGAGGTGGGGAAGGCTTGAACTACATGTAACTCCTTCTTCATCTTATTTTCTTGTACAATGGGAGCCCCAGCTTGCCTTCATAATGATACACTTTATGGCAGTTTGGCTCCTTTGAAGAAGAGAGAGGTAATTTAAATAATAGTCATCTCGTGAAACAGCCGCAGCAAGCGACACGAGTAGTGCAGAAGGGAAAAGACTCGCTCTAGATTGTAAACGCTTGTTACATCAGACTCTGGTCACCCTTTGCTCTACTCCTGCACAATCATACACCGCGAAAGAGGTGCATTGACGACAGATGAGAAGAATTCGATAGTCTGATTGCCCGCTGTGACCATGACTCTGCCAGATGGAGTCTTGCCGTGCTCATACAGACTGAGCATCACAGGCGTAGGAACAGTCGGGACCGTGGTCATGTCTGGACTTGCAAGTCCCATTGTGTAGTCATCCAGCTCGTCCAACTCATCTGCGTAGAAAGGACCTTCCTGCGAAGATGACGAGGCCGTAGAAGCACCCGATTGATAAAAATCTTGCTGCTGATTGTAATACGTTGGGCTGCTGGGGGACGAGTAATATTCGGCATAGCTTCGTTGCTGGTACGATGTCGGCTTGACAGGCGACGTGTAACCATCGTATGTGTTGTATTTTGTCGGTGAAGTGTACTGCGGATGGCTATACTTAGATGGCGACGATGTGTTGTACTGCGTCTGGTAGCTACTGGTGCTGCCGTGGTGTCGAGAATACCGGGGGCTTGTGTACATTGACATTGTACAAGGTTTTTGTATGCTTGAGCTTGTTCTGGGCGAGGCTTTTTTGGGAATGGCAGGTGCAATTGCGCGGCTTGCTACTGGTAAATTACCGTAATTTATTTATCAAAAATCAATATGGTACGAAAAAAGGTCAGTTAGGGCACTGGTTTTGTCCGCCTCTCCACCTTTTTGTCCACTATGGTTGTCTTTCCAAAAAAAGCCAGTATGCGAATTTATCGATATAGCAAGAATAGTTTACGAGCTGTGGATGAGACGACAGATCTGCTATGGCTCCCGTGTGTCGTCGTGTTGCGGTAGCGTCGAAAGAGGCTCCGCCTAAATTTCGACAATGACAAGCAACCTCTTTGTTGCTGCAATCTATTAGTGTCTCAGCTGCATAAGGACAATTGCCACTGACTGCGGTGTGTCGATTCTTTGCATTGATGATAACACGCCAGACTCTGAGAGGCGATCCTGAGTTTCCTACTAAATTTGACAATTCTTATCGAACTTTCTTTTAAGAACATAATGCGCCATAGGACTGTGTTCGCGTTTTCTCCAAAGTAGAGCGAAAAGGGAAAAGCCACAAGGATGGCGATAGATGTCCATGTAAAGGTGCTTGAAGGCCGTGAGATTTGCAAAGCGTGCTTGAATCATGCGCTCCATGACGTGCTGCTCAAATGCCATCTGGTCAGATTTGACCAATCCGAGAGCTTGAGTGACCCTCTGTTGGCAAGCCAGTTGGGCGTAATGGCCAGCTTGTATCCTACTATACTTCGAAGTAAATTTTTTCGAATTTCTGTCAAGTTTTTTGTCTTGATTTAATATGCCATAGTGGCTGAGTACCGAGCATTTTTTTGTGTAGCGAATCGAAGCAAAGAGTTTCCTCCATGTGGCACAGAGAAGCTTGTGTAATGGCTTTGCAAGCGTTTGGTCGTTACCACCTACCGGTAATGATAAAAGCTCAGGCTTATATATGATCGAACTCATTGTGAAACTTGCTAGCATACTCTTGATGACCCTTGTTGATCTTCTCACTGATTCGGGGATAGAACACAGACAGTTTGTATTGTCCAGTGAAGTGATAAAATCGCCGGTCATAATATCGAAGCGCATGCGTCATGTATACTTTGATCTGCACATATATAACCGTCTCTAAGATTTTGGTGGATTTTGCTATGCAAAAACTAATATTAATACAAAAGACTGAAAATTAAGCTCAATGACTTAAAATATCACGCTGGAAGACGCTGATTGCATAACTGCGGTTGCATTTCAAAAAATATTGAGCGGAGATTGTCAGTAATATTAGGGCTGTTGCAGTAAAGTCATGATCGATTCTCGCTAGTAGAAGGAGGGCTAAAATATACAACAGTGTTGTTTGTAGCTGCAATATCGCGAAGCGCATATTACACAAAGCTATGCTATCAAGGTTTGATTTATCTGGTCTTTTTATGACTTTAAGAACTTAGAAATGGTCTCTTGCCTTTAAAAAACCCACACGTAAGTTACATTAGGAAACGACAAAAAGTAGAGAGCACCTGCGAATATATGCCATGTTCCTTGAGGTTGGGTAGCACAGTAATACATTTTATACAACCTTGAGCAGCTAAGAAATTTTAGATGTAGCTTCAATATTGCCCACTTAGCATGTTCATAGCAGCGAAGATTTAATTTCGAAGTAATAGTGTACAAAGATTACATCCAGAAGCTTATGAAAAAGACTGAAGGTTTTTTTACCGATACAAATGTCGTGAGTAAGAAGCCCAAATTGACACAAGGCGGCACAATGGGCGAGCACTCAGTGTTTTTGACGGTACAAAAGATTCTTTTAATATGATGGAATATTTCGACGCCACAATTGTAAGAATTGTAATTATTGAATGATGGAGGGGCGGGACTAGTGCGTAATGACATGTTTGGGATGTCAGCTTCAAGCTGCACATCCTCGGGAGCTTTGCCTGACATAATCTTATTTTCGGCGGTCTGTTTACTTGAATAGTATGCGCACGGTTGTACCGTCGACACAATGCAGTCAAAAAGGATCCGGTGACTGAAACATTCAGTGCACTGAGTTATAATGTTAGGAGCAGTCAGTTTCATGAAAATTAGCCAAAGCAGAAATGTCTCTGAGCAGCTGAAGGAGATGCCGCAAAACTTGCCCTGTCGCAAATTCAAGAATATGAATTATACTAATGATACTTTTCAATTTATTTACACGTTGTTTAGTTATATTAAGTAACATCTTTATGTGCTGCCGCGATACTACTTTGATTATCTAGCTTTGGTCAAGGCAAAAAGCTCCGATGGAATCATGGAAGTACAAGAGGGGCTCGAAATCCAGAAGAAGTAGCTGCATAACAGGCAAAAGCGTCAGCGTAGAAGCGAAGAGAACGTCTCTCGAAGCAAAATAAAACCAAAGCACTTCTTAAATCACGGAGGCCGTAACGAACGCATACCGAAAACTTTAAACATACAAACCCGTAAATTCCACTTAATGTTTTCTACCACCTAAAGATTTTTTTTTGGTGTACCTATATATTTAATTGATATGACGATGACACGAGCGCTAGTTGATCACGTTCAAAGATGACTGATTGAACGATCTACACATGCGACAAGGACAAAACGGTTTATTAGCCTCAAATCATACTCTGTGTGTCTCCATCTAATGCGCATCTTGACTCCACTGAATTGTGTTGGGATCAATGCCTTCCTGCACCAATTCCCAAAGCGGACTCATCTCGCGTAGACGATTGACGTGTTTAACGCACAAATCTACGGCATATACGATCTCCTCTTCCGTTGTGAATCGGCCAATACCAAAGCGAATCGATGTGTGTGCTAAATCTTCGCCAACCCCAATAGCGCGCAACACGTACGAGGGCTCGAGCGATGCGCTAGTACATGCGCTACCCGATGAAACGGCGATATTTTTGAGGGCCATAAGCAGACTTTCTCCTTCCACATAAGCAAAAGAAAGATTCAGATTACCAGGATATCGTTTTTCACGGTCTCCGTTTAAAACAACATGCTCGATCTGGTCTGTTATTCCTTGATATAGCTTTTCGGATAAATAGCTAACCCAGCGATGATCATTCTCCATCTCCTGAGCAGCAATTTCGCATGCTTTACCAAAACCTACAACCAGCGGTGTTGCGAGCGTGCCACTACGGAGACCACGCTCTTGGCCGCCACCGGAGATAATGGGCTCTAAACGCACACGCGGACGTCGACGAACGTACATGGCTCCAACACCTTTTGGTCCGTAAATCTTATGACCCGACATGGACATGACGTCAATATTCATGTCGTCCACATGAATTGGCATCTTGCCCACCATTTGAGCAGCATCGGTATGAAAAAAGACTTTGCGTTCACGACAAATGCGCCCAATTTCTTTAAGTGGCTGAAGTACGCCAATTTCGTTGTGCACTGCAATAATGGAAATCAATGCCGTGTCTGGTCGAATGGCATCTTGCAACTGGTTTAAGTCCACAAGACCGTTCGTGCCCACTGGCAAGTACGTAACCTCAAAGCCTTCAGTCTCTAAAACACGACACGAGTCCAACACGCACTTGTGTTCAATTTGCGTCGTAATAATGTGCTTCTTTTTAGCTTTAGTAAAATGTGCAATCCCTTTCAATATTGCATTGTTGCACTCAGTGGCACCAGACGTAAAAATAATTTCTTTTGAATTTGCACCAATGAGATTAGCTACGCTCCCACGCGCATGTTCCACCGCTTTGTCGGCGTCCCACCCAAATTCGTGGGTTGTCGAGTGTGGATTGCCGTAGGCATACGTCATGTACGGTAACATAGCATCAAGAACACGCGGATCCATAGGCGACGTGGCCTGCACATCTAGATACGCAGGCTTGGCACCTTTAATTGGCGCGTGCTCGCCGCGAACCGCAAAACCCGGTGAAAAAACAGTCTCCGAATTGATATTTTGCAACACACTTGCAGGCACCTCATTCACGGGTATGTAGCGCTTGTCTGTAGCAAAAGCGCGCGTCGCAAGCTTTGCCTTGGCACGAATGCGTGACAGCGTGCGCACAGTATGCATGTTAAGAAATGAGCGTTTACAAAGTACAAACATTCTGTGATTTTGTTAAACAGATAAATTTGTGAGCATTCTGATTCTAACTCAGACCAATCAATAATTACACTAATCCATTTGAGAAATTTAGAACCACAAAATCTTGTAATTTATCTCGTTGGAATGTTTATAATTCTTGCGCTGCTTTTAGGTCATAATCTAGTGCCCACGCTGCAAAAGCTTCGGCTGAAGTCGTCAATCGTCGAAGAAGCGACTTTCGTCGTTCAGTAACTGCATAAACTCGACTAGCACTTTCGCTTTGATATGAGACCGCAGAATTGGACTGACCACGCTCCAAGTCGCTCGGAAAGTAATTGCTCTCGAGTTGATCGCTGTGTTTGTCATCTTCTCCCGCATTGGCTACACCTTCAAGGTGTTCCTTTGCGATATTGTCGCTTTTCTTGTGAACGTCCGGCATGAGAATTACTAAATCCTCTTGTACTTGAGTCGTTTCTTGACTCTGTGTCGAGATCAATGGAACTCTTCTTGTGTCTCGATCAGAAATAGATAGCGCTTTTTCCATGGATATACCTACTTTTTTAATATTGTAGTCGTTTAGAACACGAAACGCGCGTATTCGCTGCAATTTCTCCTCTTCACGACGTTCAAGACGTTGTGATGGGGAGACCAAGACCCACATGGTCTCCCCTTCAGAGCTGGAGTCACTACTCTGACGAGTCGTGATGCTCGTTCCTAAACTATGTTTGTCTTCGAGTTCACTCTCGTCCGATTCTTCGACATGCTCTTGCTTGTCATGACGACGACGTTTCATCACAGACCGTGTAAGAGCATGGAAGACGTCTGCAATATTCGAGTCGTAATGTTTTTCAAACTCGTCCAGCTGAATCTTACTATCAAGGGCCAAAATTTTTTTCTCCCGAAAATGACATAAACCATCATCCAGCTCCACGCCCTCATACTCGTGCTCTCCGGAGTTCGAATCGTTGTCGTGAGCCAGTCTCTTATCCTCTGAGCCCGTGAACGCCATAAAGCTCGTAACGCTCCGTCGAATCCGATTACGTCGCAATTCATCTTGGTGTTTCTTAGCACGATACACACGAAGCTTCTCTACCTTTTCCATGTGTTTTTCAGCACGTTTAACAATCACATTCCATCGCTCTCGTAATTGTTCTGATGTATACAGAGCAAATTGCGGTTCATACTGTTTCTGCCTTGCCAAAAGTCCATCAAGATCTCGAATGAGGTCCCACTTGGGTCCCACGTGCTGAACTGCAAGTACCAAGAGTTCATCGTTAAAACAATCGCAATGTTTAATTCTCTCCGTACAATAAGGACACAGATCCTTCCAGCCCCATGTCTTAATGATCAAATACCAGGCAAAATCTTGCGCAAGACCCATGAGTGACATGCGTGCAATGGCTGCCAACACACCATAATAAATAAATCGGGTCAAAAACAGACAGCTACGAAAGGCCCAAATGTAAAAAATGGGTCCTTGCGCTAATGTCAAGAGAAATGCTACGAGTACTTGCAGTAGAAATGCCAATCGGAATGAAATACCATTAAGCTCTCCACCTGCAGCTTTTGCACGAAAATACTTACGACGTTGTCTAAAAATGAGCTTAAACAGCTCTTTAAAAATGGCTTTCCCGGCTGATGGCATTACCGCCACAAGAATGGCATAGAGCCCAACAGACGTGAAGATTGTCATGTCACTTCCCCATGAATCGCGTAACATGACGATGATAAAGAGGACGTAGAACGTTATATACAATGAGCACACGACAATGAGAGCTCGTTCACCGCGTGAAAGCTGTTCGTTACGATAGGGATAAAGGATCCATGTAAAGTAATTTTCATGCCGCCACCATGTGTAAAAAGGTTCAAAAGGGCGTCGAAATTTATTCCAGCAACACGGTCCACATAATCGCGTCTTCGGTACTTTTCGATCCCATGGCATGGGCTGCCAGTAATCCACTTCGTTCTCTGGTACCTTGAGCTCACGTGCATACATGCGTTCAATATTTGTTTGGAAACTTTCACAGTGGGTGATCATCTGGAAGACACGCAAGCCAAATAATGTGATGATAACGTACGGTAGAAAGAGCAACAAGTACGCACTTCCGACAATGCCAGAGGATCTACAGGCCACTGGCTCAGGATCCACGGAAATGAACGAGACATTGAATTGTTCCCACGCCTCGTGTTCACTCATTTTTCCTACGTTGTTTAGATAGTAGATCTTTACATCCGAATTCACCGCGGATGGTAACTGTGGCAATTGACAGTAATCATGTGTAGGGTCTCGCGAGAGGTAACATGGCTGAATGACAAAGTACATACTCTCTCCAATTTTGTTTTCAATGTAAGTACGCGGCATGTACGCAAAAGTTGTACGTAAAGTCGAGCCTTCGTTTACATACTCGAATGGTTCGCCTCTTACGTAATGCTCGTATTCATCTTCACTTAATAGAAGTACATTAAAGTTGGAAGAGTTGAGAGAAGCTCCAACAGTCAACGAGTCGGAATGCACCGTCTCAACAGTATAAGTCAAATGAAAATCCACCTCGTCCGGAAAGTGAAGATACGTATAGTCCTGTGTAATTCGCACGTTTTTTTGCGTAAAAGCATCTAGATGCAACACCTCGTTCAGATGTAAACCTGATAGTGAAAATCCCAACCAAATCACAACACCCACACCGATCCCAAGCCACGCCCAAAATTGGACGCACCCCCTCCGTCTGCTGTACCGAGCTCCAAAACAAGCTGTCCAACAGTGCTGCTTTTCCACTACGCGCGGCTGTTCGCACCCTTTATCACCATTAGCTGAAAGATTATTTGTTCCGCTCGGGATATATTCGTCACCAATTTTGATATTCGGTTCGTGACCAATAGACTTGCAGTAGGCCAAATATGCTTCTAGAAGTTCTGTATTCAGTTTCTCGCTAGCAGGAATGTCTTCATCATAGGTATTGGCATCGTTCATATCAGAATGAAACGCCTCATTGATTTTGTTATGCCGTTGTACAGCACCCTGTCGAAATGTGTCAAAGTGGACAGGCTCTTTCTTGTCGGCCAAGCGTGTCAGATCCTCGAAAAGAGTGTGCCGTCCTTTACAATGTGATCGCTTTCGTGCTGCGGCATCTTCTACGTCTGGCGGGGCAGAATCCGAGCGACTTCGGAAGTCAACGCTGGAGAGTGAATCGGGTCCTAGTACACTCGTATCTCGGCGTCGCCTCCGACGTCTGCCTCTGTCAATACTAGTAGATGCATCCAGACTACGCTTTCTAATCGGAAATTCTTGAGCTTCATTGACGTTAAGAAATGGAACATCTTGCTTCCAGGAAGAGAGTGGAGATGACATCGATGGCTCAACTGACTTTATTTCTCAAGCCATGTTTTTATGATTTTGGGATAATGGAAGAGTTAAATTAAATTTAGGGATTTCTCGCAGAGCTTGTCCGTATGTTTCGGCGCTCATCCTCCACCCACATAAAATCGTTGTAAATTGTCCGCTGTGGACATCTACTAAACAAGTTTTGCTATAATATTGCTCTAAGGCGCGACTTTCAATCTAACACAACCGCTACTGTTATTCGTTGGGAGCAAAAGAATTCCATTTCAAGCTGCATCTTCATCGATAAAAAATTCGTTGACGGCAGCGAGATAAGCCATTTTGCTTCTCACTACATTGCCGATGTTAACATAAGTATCCTTCGGAGAACCAGAAGTTCAATTCTTAATTTACGAGCACCTAATCGGGGCTGACAGGACGACTAAAGGCACAGAATTATTCGACGAGAGTCTTACCATTTGATACGTGCATTGTAACGGGGATACATGTGCTATTGTGATAGCAATAGCTACTGTGATAGCTACTGTTACACGTGCTTTTGTGTTAGCAACAGCTGTGTGCTTTTGTGACAGCTACTGTAACTCGTACTTTTGTGTTAGCATAGTAGCTATTGCTAGCACGTGCTTTTGTGTAAGCACAGTAGCAATTGCTACTATTACATATGCTTTTGTGTTGGCACAGTAGATATTGCTAGCACAATAGCACGTGTAAGCGCGTTACAATGCACATATCGAATGCTAAGAGCAGCGGGCTGCCGTAGCTAAGCGCTTGAGGAAGCGTACTCTAGGTCACTGACCTTTCGTTCTTTACAAGAACCAATTATCGAGTTTCTCCAAGAGTAATTATTGCCTTCCCAAGGCTAAATGACTCTTCGGTTTAAACTCAAGAATGATTTTTATTTAGTTTTTTTATCCTGATTTTTAAACTTTAGAATTCCCAAATATACTAAATATATATAGTAAAATCTAAATTCATGCATAACTACTGGCTACCTAGCTCCGTACCGTATTCTTGTTTGGATGTGGTCATACCATGCACATCTCGTGTGACACACACATCCCTGTTATCAGGGTTCGTGTAACCCCGTTACACCCCCCATTAAGTTTGAGACCATTAACAGTTCCAGTCGATTATTGCCTCAACGAGGCTCGCGTGTCCGTTAGACACTGCAACTCAATTTGTTTAACAAATTGAGCTGCAGTGTCTAATATGCGGCATCACAATTAGCGATGATGAGCAAGCTCCAGTGCCAACAGCTTCCTTGCTCAATGAGCCCTGTGTCCACGAGCCGAAAGTCACCAAGTCTCACTGGTTCTTACAGCGAGCACGGGCAGAGTCCAACTTCGTCCCCCGCACGCGGTGCGTTGTCGGACAGTGCGTCCGCGGCACCGGGGGATGTGTATCCTAGGCTCAATGAGCACAAGCGTCGCGCTCCGCGCACGCTATCAGTGACGAACG